ATAAATCGGAATATGCCGTTTTCATAATATGGAATATGCGGAATATGCTGTCATTCATTTTCAAAAAAAATCATGTGCAACTTCCCCTAACTTTCTCGCCTTATTTGTAACAACATTCGGGGTGGGGCGTGAGGCAGGTCGTGGGGCGGGGCGGGAACGAGGCAATCGCCAGCAACGCCAACCACCCCCAGCCAAATCTTCTTACGAAATTCCTTTCTTCCTCAATAACAAAATCATCTTACTTCACAAAATGTCCATGGTTCTATTACATGGATATAGTCAGAAAACTGTCCACAGCTAATCTACCAGCTATCGTGGACCTGAGAAGCAGTTGGTGATGTTTTCTTTTGTTTTGTTTGAAAACAACAACTCCTCTAGCTAGGAAGAACATACGACTAACGAAGTTGTACGTTACACACCTCCTACACACTTCATTCAGTGCACGATAAAAACGAATAATTTGAATTAGAAGTGAAGAATTAGAAATAAGCAATAAGTGAAGGAAATTGTTCAACAATAAATTGAGGCAAAAGTTCTTGGAACAAGGAAAAAATTGGTTGACAAGAAAAATCCTTAGAAAGTCGAGAAGAGAAACGGAGAAATGTTATCAGGGGACTTCAAACCTCCAGCAACGATGCAAAACTACTCGTAGAAGTGTTAAATTTCTTCGAAGAAAAATTGCATGTGACTGCAAGAGTTGTAAAAATTATCTCTATTAAACAAGTGGAACGTTGAACCTTACCTAACATGAAAACATGGAAAACAACCATGATAAAATGATACACAAAAAAGTTCAAAAGGAAGCCAGATATATACCGAGTGTTTATTTTATCTTTCGCCGAAGATGACGCGCAGCTTGCCTCGGCGATCGAGCCCTGGGTACCCGGGGACTTGTCCACTAGGGCCCCGTTCATCCGACGCTTTCGTCGTTCGGCTCCACCGGCCGATACACCTCCGCCCCGTTCCGAGCGTTCAACTGCGCATCTTGAATTTTTTCTAGAAGCAGAGGACATTTGTTTACGACACCATCGTTCGCCTAAGTCCGCCAGCAAGTGCCGCAAGAGGTTTATTAAGAAATTTCCGGGCGTGAATATTTCGCATCGGTGGACAATGTTGAAGCTTATCAAGAAACTTCGCACCCATGGCATTTTAATTGACAAATAAAAGTGTCAAAAGCGCCGTGTCCTGACAAGAGTTGGTGAACGAAATCTTTGTCAGATTACAACAGCCTCCAAGAAAATCTTTGAGAAGTCTATGTTTACTTTCAACAGGATTCAGCCATTGCTCACACTCGTTCGATCCATGAAAGTTGTAAATAAAGTTTATAATGACAATCGAATCGTCGATTATGGCCTCCTAGATCGCCTGATCTAATTCCTCGTCAGCTTCTTCTTTGGGGGTACTTGAAAGATCAGTGATGTGTCAGCACAGGAGCTGGGTCAGCGCTTCGCTGGGCGAGCGAGCACTCAGCTGCCCGGGCAGCGGAGCCTGAATCTTCGGCGAACGATATGATGAACACACTGTACAAGCCACGACATCACAGTTAAGGAAAGATTAATTCAGAGAAAGATATCAGAAGCTGGCAATGAAGAAAGAACAAAAATGGTAAATCAGTTGGTCGGCTTCAAGAAGATTACTGTATATCTACAACTGGGACGAAGAAGTTGGTGAATTGAAAAATTTCAAAGCAGTTAACAGGTCAGATTATTCAGCTCAGCTCTCCCACCGCACGGAAAAGCTCCGTCAGAGCAACCACAGGTAATCTTGCTTCCGCAACTACCAAATGTACTTTTATGTGGCTTTATAATGCAGTTTTCTGAAATTTGTGTGGGTTTAAAAATGTATGCAATTTAACTTGTTCCGACTACGACGACTATTTGAAAAACTGTAATATTTTGTGTCACCGACACTTGGCATTACTCGCCTCTAGCTAATGTTCCACACACACTCAGATTTAAAATCATTCGAAGTCTTTCTTAGTGAAGTTAAGGCGAAAGTAAGAGCCAGTGTATGATTAATTATATTTCACAGACATGATTTTCCTAAAAACGTACAAGTTTTGGAAATTAATACTTACTTTATTGCAATGAAATGTGTAATACGTATTACTGAATTTATGGTAGTTAATGTTCACCTAAGACACAAAAATTTCAATGAGAGACTTGAAATACTGATTTTCTTGAACGGACACTTCAAGAACACAACGGACCCACTAATGGTCAGGGGGATTTCAATGGCCATATTGATTTCTCAAAACCAGCTATCCGACTACGTCATGGAAGGAATAGAATTTCGGGGAACTCGCAACTGGCTAGATGCAATTTTAAATACTAACGGATAAAAACTGGTGGGAAATTTGAACGTTTAGGCCTCAGTATTCTTAAATGAAGTACATCCGATGAAGTAAGCGACTTCATATATGTTCATGGTAAAGGTTCAAGTACTATCGACCATATTTGGACCGATCAACTAGGTACAATGCGGCTATCAAATTGTTCTGTACTTAACTTTGGCTTTTCTGATTATCTCCCTATCTCTGCATAAATACACACTGATGGTAGACCAATGGAAAAGCAAGAGGTCGACACCGAGAGAGAGCGCAACCTTGAAGCAGAACTGAAATTCAAATGGTGCGTTGAAAAAGAGGATGATTACTACCAGAATATACTAGAAAAACCAACACCCTATTTGAACACTATTGATCTAGACACACTGAACTGTGAAATCGTAAACGCTGTAAAATCACGGCTAAGGACCTACAAATGACGAGCCATATTAAAGAACAAGATACAACTAGAGACAAGTCATGGTAGAGCACAGAATGTCGTATTTTAAGCAAAGAATCGAGAGAAAAAATAGAAAATGGTGTAGAACTAAAAATTTGAGGAACGAAGAAATCATTACATTAGGTCCTGGAAGATCTATGTTAATCTAAAGAAAAAAGTACAAAACTACTAAAAAAGTTAACCTTTCAAATATACAGAATTTTACCCCTTTGGGAAAACTGTCCGTACGTTAAGAAGTGAAAAAATGATTTTTACATTGCCCAAAAAAGTAATTAACGATTTCTATGAAAATATTTACCCACGTCGAGTAACCTCTACAACTCACTATATAGACTGTAGGCATCCGATTCTAGATAAAGAGATTGCTCCAGAAAAAATAATGGTAAGCACTCGAAAACTAAAGAACAATAAAGCGCCGGGACCAGAGGGAATACCCAATCTATTCTACAAGAGACTTCCTCGAGACTGGTGAAAGCAATTCCTCTTTAACATGGTTCTCAAGGCAGGAAATGTTCCATCCAGCTGGTGTGAGCCTGGCGTTCTTTTGGTCCACAACGGAAACGAAACAGGCCCACTCCATGGAATAGCCATTGCAAACTCGATAACCAAAATATTCACTGCTCTGATTGCGAATCGATTGGTAATGTGGAGTGAGAATTTCAACGTTTTTCCTGAAAGTCATTCCGGCTTTCGATCGGACAGGTTTTGTTTGGAATATAACTTGCTTGGAATACAAGGCAAAATAGGACTAGAGCAAGTTACACCTAAAGGAAAACTGTGTCCAGCGTTAAGATTTCAGTCTGTCTATGGCAGCCTGCACAACGCCTGCTTCCGCGGGCATTCTGCGCTTAAGAGCCAGCCGACTGCCCGCGAGAGCGCCGGAAAGGCGAGTGGTGGGGAGAAGTCGAAGCGCGTAAACTGAATGCCTGAGCGTCTAATGCAATGATCCACGCTCTGAAAGTATTTGCCCACTTATTTAAATGGTCAGTCTACCCTATTTCTGTCTACAATGGCCATATTTTAACGTTCATGTTCTTCTGTGCACCGATATGTATCGACATATTTTATTTTTTAACTTCATGCTCATTATAACTCAAAAATATTTTAAAGCAGGGGTTCCTTTAAAAATGTATTATGTAATTTTCAATAACAAAAACTTACAATTTACGAATTGATTTTTCACCAGGAATGTTATAATCTCGAAATTATACCAAAACTGAGGAAATTGAAAGCTGTATCTCTAATTGAGATTGATATAAAAATTAAATAAAGGTAATTCCAAGAACGGTAATGTTTGGCAGCACATATTTGTAACCATTTTCCCTCATTTCAAAGCTGAATGAGAAATACCAAATAGAAAACCCCTTTTATGATATTGTACGATTGATGATGACATTATTTTTAGCCTTGTTAAAAAGAACGCAGAGGGCTAAACTAAAATGTCGTAAATGATTACGAATAAATAGTGTTCGTTGAATTGAAATTAAAATTTATAATGTACTCTTGACAGAAATTACTTTCTGCTCTAATCATGAGTTTTGAAGAATAAGATTTTTTAACTTTGATAGAACCGTCATCAACCAAACCGTAATCAATTAAATATAATTAAAAAATTATGTATTACAAAAATTATGTTGTCATCAAACAAAAAAGATTTAATACTACAATTTTGTATTTAGCAGCACGATAAATTAACGATTTCATTGTATGAAAGGAAATTACATTATCCGCCCTACAAGCAATTATAATATTGGTATCCAAATAAAAAATATATTCGTCTATTTCGTTTTAGGGCCAAACTTCACATTGTCATACATCGACAACAAACATTTAACAACATAACAAGTAATTATACTTGAACTGTACGCACGTGTAAAAGTCCGTTATATTCTCACAAATGCTCTTTCAATTTACGCGCTGCGGTTCAATTTGCGCATTCCCATTTGCGGCCCCCACTCCAAGAGTGATTCTTATCCCCACCTTTCCTCGCGGCTATGTTTGGGTCTGCACTCAAGTTTCTAGCGCGCGGCTCCCGAGGTCAGTCAAAGAGCAAAACGCTGGGCAGGCGTGGCCTAAGATCGATGCTAGCGCGTAAGCCGTTCAGCGGATGTTCTCCAAAATTTGAATTCGTCGATCAGTGTGAATGAACTCGTCGCCACGCGTGCGTCCGGCCAAGGGCAGGTGCGCGCTGCGAAGGGCTGCGCGGGGTCTCACCTGTTGGAGGCGGCGGCGCGGCCCTTGTCGGCGGCGGCATCTGGCAGCAGCGGCGCCTCCGCGCCCTTGGCCACGAGCGCGCGCCGCCCGCCCGACCCCCTGCAAGCACAGCGGCCACGCGCGCTGCCACACCTACGCCACCACACCGCGCACACCAGGGATGTCCAACTGGCGTCCCAGCGCACACGCCCTCCGAGGCAACGCCCCTCAAGGCAAAAGTAGCTTCGAGTTTGAATTTAAGAATGTTTTTCCAGTAAATTCAGAAATTCAAAATCATGCCAATGTGTTTCACTGATTTACGCGTGGTACGGCCTGATATCACGCACGGTTCCATTCCCCCACCCCGGTTTCAGAGCAGCCGGGCAAAGTGCCGGCATCAACAATACGGGAAAGTTAGATGTGGATCGCCCAACTAATGAAAAGATGGCCCGCGACCACCATAAAGGTTTTAGTTGTGGCCCGTGAGGACTTGCCAGTTGGACATCCCTGGTGTAGACTATTTTTTCACATCAAATAATCCAAAACAGTTAATAATAATTAGTAATAGTAGATGCATGTTCAGATTTAATATTTCAAAAAATGTTTTCGATTCAGTAAGTTAAACTTAAAATACCATTCCTGATGAGGAGGTGATGACAATTCCCCCCACAAGTGCAGTGTCACCAACCCGGCGCGCACAAGTATTGTACAGATCCTTGATCGTGCCGCCACCCTTTTCCCCCACAGGAGCGGCGGACCCCACAAGTATTTCACGGGGAAGGCATTTCCAGTCTTGACTGTCTCCCGGCCCGTGAATGTTTTTGAAGCAAAACAATGTTAATTTGGAATTTAAAAATGTTTTTAAAACTAAAATTAACATTTATGCATAATGGCAGTACTTCTTTGGACGTGATCGAATCAATTTGAAATATTGCTTTCGATAAATAGAGTATAATTCTAAATAAATTTTGGCTTTGGGGGAGGAACATGGCCCTCGTAGATTCGCCACTACCCCACAAAAAAAGGTAGATTTCCGTCGCATCCATTTAGGGTTACCACACGTCCTCTTCTCCCCGGACATGTCTCTTACTCTTTTTGAAGTAAGAAAAACTGCCCGGGTGGATTTTACAAGAAAGGATGAAATGTGTTATTTTTTATTGGAAGCGGGGAACTACTTTAAAATGCAAACTAGATCCACGATGTACGAAATAAACACAGCTTTTTCTAATTTTTCGAGTTCCCTACATTACATTGTTGTACAAATACATAACATTTATCTAAAGGTATCTCGTATAACAACTGCCAAAAACCATAGATCAACTATATCTACATTTACGTTATGACCTCAGCTAGTACAATATATTGTAAACACCTAAGAAAGGAAACAAAATCAATCAGATGGTGAATTGTGATATGAATACATCAATCAGACTCCAAGTCTTGTGTTCCATTCTGAACTCCTCCAAATACTTCTGGTACAACAGTGGAATAGGCAGTAATGATAATAAAGCAGACCTATTGTGTGATTGTGAAGACGGTGACAATTAGCGAAGTATTTTTTTGATCTTAGCAATTAGCCTATAAGAAAAATAAATTCGTATTTTAAAACATTTTATGTGAAGCGCCTTCTTTTTTATAAGAAATGTCCTCTTTAATCATAATGGAAGTATGCCAACTATCTACATAGATAACCTTTCTCCCCGCAGAACACGTTGTCTACGCGTTGTGTACGAGTAAACGTGGACTACGTATGTTCCCGCGTAGAGGCTTATCACGCGCCGTCCCTCCCCCGCCCAGCGGCCTGCCCCAACGGGGCTCTGGGTGGCCTGCCGCGCACCAAACAGAGGGCTGTTTATTCTGATTTAGGTAAATATTTTTTCTCGCTCGAGGGAGAAGCCCACCGCCCAGCAGAGATGTGAAGAATGTGAGCAGATGCGCGGCATTCAGCCAGCACAAAAATTACATTTTATGTTATCGTTTGGGAAACGGCTGCATGTGAGAAACGACTGCTGCAGGCTCCCACGAGAGGGAGCGAGCTTCCCCGGGCTGTGGGATCCAGCCGTTGGCGTAGCTTCTCTCGGGTATGACTCTAACAGAAATTCCAACGAAGGCGGAATTACTCAAATGGTAGAAAATTCATCTCCGTTGTTGACGAAACCTGCGAGAGAAAACAGGTCTTATTACTTAAAGACGCATGTTCGTTGTACCAACAACCGACTAAAAGTTTATTGTAATTTTCACCGTCAAGAGTAGACATTCCAATATCACGTCATTTTGAACATTGGAATCAGAGAGTTTTTCTTCCGAGAGACAAACATGTTGAGACTGTTTCCACATACTGAGCTGATTTAACTGTTTGCAATGGAACAAGGGTATCGTTCACTTACATTGCGCGTAAATATGTCATGACAATATTTGGAAGGAAATAGCTTCAAAATCTCTAAAAAGCCGGCATTCTAGCAGAGAGATTAAAACTAGGTACTAAATCGGACATCTTATTTCTTGGTTAAAATTTTCCCTCAGTTGTAATTCTGTGAGCGTTCAGTGAGGAATTTCATATTACCAGGAACCAATTTTAATGTTATAACAGTTAGTTGAGATATATGTATCTTCAGTACTTCTTGAAAATACTGATACTTTTAACTTGTTATACTTTTACCATACACTTGTTTGTGATTTCAGTGCAATTATTGGAAACATAATTTATACATTATATTCATGAAGAATATTAGCATGCTGTCGAAAACTATTCAACAAATGATAAGACTCCCGGAAATGCCACACAAATGAACTAATACCGAGATACAATGTCTCATTTACTAACAGATTTTTGCTCGGAAAATGGTACATCTCTGATACTGGTAGATAGATAGTGAAGATAAAACAGCACACCCTTTATTTCTAACTTGAGTCTCTTTCGAAAACTCAGAGACCAACGAAAATTAAACCTGCGTCATTCTTTTACGCGATCTTTCTTCTATCCGTGGAAAAAAATTAAAAAATTCACCTTAAAATGTTGCAGAAATGAAATTAGAACTTCAAGTTTCTTTCCATAACATCCTAAAAGGTGTCATCATGTACATTTCAAAATTGTGCGAAAATATTGTTTTTTTACATTTTCTAAACGACACATGAATTTAAAAGAAAATAGTTCAGGTAGATACGGATTAAAGTTTCGTCCCAGTTTTCGAACGAACGAGTAACTTTACACAATAAAACAAACCTTTTTTCATCTCTAAATAGAAGATTAATAAGAGTAGTCTACATTCATGTGGAACACGGTTCAGGTCTAACTCCCAGCACTAGAATACCGTGCTAACCGTCAGTAATTTTCTTTCAACACAAAAGAACAGTGCGTGTGAACGTAGTTCAGAAGGGTGCATAAATTTCACTCCCAGATAACCATCTCGTCTTAAGGTAGAATAACAACTATGAGTTTAAAATATTAGGTAGCGCTAAAGAAAGACTTGGGTCTTCCCCCCAACACACCACAGCAACTTCAACACCGAAGCCAACCAAAAAAAGTCGCAGTTATGCTGCCAGGAGTAGGAATCGAAATATCTACGAGCCATCGACAGTTGACACTCAGTAGGCGCACCACCCTCGCGACGCCTGGGTCCCGCGATCAAACTCAGCGCCAAGCTAATAGCGTACAGTGCAAAGCGGCTGCTCAACACCAACAAATACAATGCTCTTCCTTCTGCAATAAATTACATATTCTAACAGCAGTACTCTTCACGAATACAACACGGTTTAGTATCTCTATAAAGGCAACGGTTCTTTACATAAGTACAAAAGTATGAAGAATATTTCTGAACCGTAATGTAAACATGAATAGCCAAGTTTTTTGTTAGAGTATTGATGTCCTATGTCCAAGATCAATAAACTAATCTTTCCTGGAAGGTTTATCTCAGAGCGTAACATCGGGTCTATTGTGCTGGGTTGTTCTAAGACTGCGGTCCCAGTACTCATTTTCCCTATGGAATATCACCCTTTTCTGGGTGACATTGGTAGTACGGTGTATCAACGTCCTGCAGGAGACTAGTTCTTAGCGAGCTCGGCACGGATGATTGGGGCCACTAAATCGTGTCTCGTTTCGTAGTCTGTTGCGCTAGTGCACTGCAACCCGCGACGATGTGCATGATCTCTCCCAAACATTCGGCTCATCGCTATGTACTTCTGGGCCTTTAATTACACATAAGAAAGTTCTTCGTTGGGCTAACCTGATCTTGGAGCGCCACCATAAAGCCTTTACTCTCAGGGAACAAATATCCTACGCTGAGCCATTTCTACCACATTTCCCCGTCGACATTTGCATTGGCAACTGCAGCAGGATATGTAACATTTTTGTTCCAAGGAATCCATTTCTTGTTGAAAAGATGACTGTTGGATTGATATATTTTGTTGTTTTAGATTTAGAGCAGTATAGTGGTCATCTGTCTGTACGACCTCCTCGTGGAGTTTAGAAGTATTCGCTTTCCCAGCAAAATGCCTTCTCACGGCTGTTACCTGCTAAGCGTGGACGTGTGTCAACTTGACGATTCCACGCCCTCCCATTCAGTGTCATCCTCTAAATAGCGCTTCTTGGGTGGTGGCAACACACGCGTGTCATTTGGACTCGCACACGTCTTTCCATTTCCTCTAGGTCTGTTCAGGACCATTTGAGAATACCCATCGAAAATGTGACAATGGGAAAAAGGCATGTGTTGATGGAAACCGTGAGGTTTCGAAAATTGAGGGAAGTTCTTGAAACTGCCTCGAGTCATTTCGTGGGATCAGTTTTTAGCGTTCCATTCGGCGTGTGATGTGCTACCATACATCCCTGTTTTATGCCAAGATATGGTATAATTCATTGGCTTCCAGAGCGGATATTGTATCTCTCTACATTATTATTATTATTATTATTATTATTATTATTATTATTTTCCACTACGCGTCACCGGGTTCGATTCCCGGTCGAGCCAAGACTACAGAGTGCTTTTTCCTAGCAATGTTCCAGAATATGTTGCTGTGTGACGATGAGGAAGTTCACTTTTCAGGTTGAGAAGACCGGAATACCGCATGGGGATGTCTCCGTGCTAACCACACGTACCCCCTTAACCCATGTCTGCGAGGCAGGATCATCGCCGATAGGCCTAAGTCCGTTCACGGGCTGTCGCGCCAAGTGCATACATACATTGTTTATTATTATTATTATTATTATTATTATTATTATTATTATTATTATTATTATCATTATTAT